ACTGGGAAATTAACGTTAGACTGGCTGCCTTTCTCTATGTAAATTTCAAGTCACATGTGATGTACTGTGGCTTTCTGTGATCTCAAATGCTGCATGGCGCGCAGTGACGCACTGAGAAAGTGAGCAGTGCTAGGAGTAATGGAGCACCGGTGTTCTGACAAATTGTGCAGCCTTGTCAAAACGTCCCACCATAGCGCAAATTTATATGTAACTCCTTATTTAAAAGAGGGAAGGATGTTTTGCTAAAATCAGAGGTTCTCAGCCTTTTCCACCTCAAGGCCCACCTGTTCATCACTAGAAAGCATAAAGGCCCACAAAAAAACAAAACTTAATGGCTTGTATTAATGTTGTTAACTGTCACTGTTACTGTTAAGTCATTGTTACTGATTTTTATGACAAAGTGCCATCACAGGCCTAATACAGACCACAGGCCCCCCTCAGTATAGGTCCATAGACAACCAAGGGGTGCTTTGCGGCCTACTTGCGGTCCTCGGCCCGGTGGTTGAGAAACCCTGGCTTAAATCACTGCATCAGAAAATGCTACCAACATTACAGCTACAGGCAGAATAGTTTGATAGTCTGAACACCCTTATCAGAAAGTGTTACCAGCATTAAAAGAATAATTAGGATATTTTGATAGCATAAATCAGCTTATCAGGGAAAAAGTGGCAATATTAAGATTAGTCGGTATGATAGACTTGAAGAAAGCCTGAAGTAACATGAAAAACACAAGTTACTATGCTGTAGTAATGCGCATGCTTGGTAGGACTACTTGGGTAGCACAAATTGTGAGAACACCTTGTACTGGTGTGCACACCTCCATTAAAATCAATGGTTTCAAATTTTGGACACTTCACGGCATGTCCAGTGTGCAATGGCCATTGTAATAATAACTGCTGCACCGTATAAGGTGGAATGGGAAAATTCAAATAGGAAGCTGACTTCAGCTTCTTATGATTTAGGCTATCAAAATGTCATACTTTTAGACACGGAGCTACCTATAAAAAAAGACATTTGGACAAGGCAGCACAATGTGTCAGAACAAGCTGGTGAATACAATGGAGCCTTGTTACACCATACCCTCCCGACAACACATTACTGACATCGCTGTGTCCAACTTATACAAGGAGGCAAAAATTAACCTTTAATTTTTTTACTGATATAGGAAAATGTTAATTCCTTTGTTCAGATTGCACATAAAGTAGTGCTATGATGTCTGATCTTACAGGGACTGTGATAAATGCAAATGCAGATCCCACTGTTATGATTACATAAAAAGTAAACTTTTACATATACTTAGATTTTATGCATATGGTGGCATTTTTTAATACTATGATAGATTTCCTAAAATTAGATTTAAAAACTCGCAATATATTGCAATATCTTCAATCGTAACCCCTGTATCGTGATACGTATCATATTGCCAAGTTCTTGCCAATACACAGCCCTACACAACATGTTCTTGTTCAGGAGTGTGATATCTGTATTGCTGATGTAAAACATCCACATGATGAAGTTTCAGTCCTGTCTATCTATATTACCAGACCTTCTCTAGGAAAACAAATCCAGCTTGATTAGGGCCTAAGACTGAATTATGTAAATTATCTCTGTTCTAATTGGCTGTCCTATATTGTGCCTCATTCAAAAAGGAGTCTGGGCTGAACCACTCCTTATCACTTTTACATGACTGCATGGGGCTAAACTGCTGTAGCCTGAATAGGTGGATATATGTAAATATGTTGGTTTTCATGACATCATCATTACTGACTGGTGAGTGAATGGTACATTTTGAAACAGTGTTTGCATGCTATATCAAACTGTTTTATTAACAAGCAATGTGATGTAAGCCCTTCTAAAGGTATTTTTTCATATATATTTAAGCACAATCAGTTCTGCATATTATGCTTGTCATACATTTCCCACAAATTAATTCCAGTGAGTCACTGACACGTATTTGGCATTCAATGCAGTTTCTCAAACCTCTTTTCAGAAGTCTTATCTCTGTTTTGGCTTGTTTCCAGTATAAGCATTTTTTTTATTAGCTTCTAGTGTTTGCTTGTTTGTTGTTGGAAGAAGAACAGTTTATATATCAAAATAAAGACCTCATTAAGGTATCCAAGACTCAGGACTGTGCCATCCCAAAGAAAGTCCACCAGAGACCTGCTTCTCTGCTGATAGCTTTCATCAAATCTACCCCAAACGTGGGGTTGTGGAGGAATAGGACAAGCCGGACAGACAATGCTGGGGTAGGTAATATTAAGTAAAAGCTACATGGCAGCTGCACTGCTGCCAGTACCTTCGAAACACATGGTGCAGGCACTCCATTCGAGACGCTAATTAGGTAGTGGCAGCTGTTTACTAGAGCACAGGGGAGTCAGCCAGGGAATGTGATGTGGGGAATTTTTTTTTTCTGTCTCTTTTTTTTGTTGTGTTTTTTTTACCCAACACTGTTAACCCTGTAGAGTCAACCTGTGACGCAGTCCCTCATAGAGCATCAGCAATGGGGGACAGGATGGATAGGCTGTTTACATAAAACTTGCCCGCTGCTCTTTCAGAGTGACTCATGGTGAGTGATTACAAGTACACAGCTAATGCTCCTCACCACAAAGCAGCGTCATTAGCCAGACTGGCCTCATCACTCCTGCTGACAGGCAAACCACGGATGCGCCGTTTAAGGCTGCATTATCATTTAGCCTTTGACCGCAGCCAGCAAGGTGATGTCAGGAGAAGAAAACCTACTGGGCTGAAAAGTTTTACCAAAGATAATCATAAGATATGCAATGAAGGAAGCCAGAGCTGTAGTAGCATTAGGTAGTAAGGACCTTTTTCGTATTTCGTAACCATCCCTTCAAGGAGACCAATGGTAGTGATTTATCCAAAGCACTGGCACTAGTCAACAGTCAAGGTGCATGCCCCAGTCATCCTTCACCCTCTTGCGACAAAGGACTCTAAGCAGTTAGTCTGCACTGCACCTGCATTGTGTTCTGTGTATATCTAAAGTATACACCTACTGCACTTTTGCATCCTCCAGGCATTTGTCATCCTACACCACCTGACACATGGTGTATGTTTCTGGCCTCTGTAGATAGCGCAATGAGTGGGAGTGTCAGATATTGCAGATCAGCCAACACAGCATACATTGTTAATGCTAATGATACAATTATCAAAAGCACTTGGAGTGATAACTGAGTGTCAGTTTCACTCTGTTATTGTGTTCTAATTTCGCTCCCCTGAGATGTTTAAAAAAATCTACAGACACAGTAAAAAAAAAAAAAAGTGGAAATGTAATATGAAAACAATCCATAAAACATAAGACAGGGTTTTCTCTTTATGGACAGTTTCCTTTTGGTCAGGATAATAACTAAGATGAAGAGTAGATTATGTAATAGTGGCATCACTACTTGTGATGGCTGACCTCACTTTGATGATTCCACCATTGTGCCCTGGCGTATGAAAAGAAAAATTGAATGCGATCTAACGTTGAAATGCAATGTGTCATAAGCAGAGAAGAATTTTTAATGCTACCTCGACATGCGACTTTATGTGCACATGAGCTGATGATGCCAGAACAGAAGTCTATATGTGTCTGTATCAGGTGCATTGCCACAGGTGGTACATCAAAGCACACCTGAGTTCATCCATGAGGAAAGACTGTAGCCCACAACCAATACTCATCCAGTTGCACAACTGTTCACATGCCTACAGTTACTGTTGTAAATCAGCGTTTAACAGCTGTGCTTGCTCAACCTATTTATATGAGAATTACGCCTCTAAACACAAGATGCATTTTTTCACAGGCCTTAGTTCCATATGTGCACAGCTGTGTTGTTACATTTTTTCATCTGTGGCACTGCTGTGATAGCAACCCTGACATTTTAGCAGTACATTTCTGAAACTTTGCACTGTGATTTTGAATTTGCTGATTAAACCTTTTTTTTTTTTTAAGTTTTTAGCAGAGACAAAGAATACAGTAGAATGCACTGTAGTGCATTGTAGAATATGAAGGGTTTTATTCCATAATGCATTAAACTTTCATGATTTGCTGGATATTTGTTGTTGGGAGTGGGCTTCACACATACATGAAATACCAGTGCTATATTATGATACCACCTATATTAGAGAAATAAAAATGTGTTTTTTTGACAAAGTGTTACACGCCAGTGGTCGTTCTTTTCAAATCTCTCCAAAATTATAGATACACAACAAATTGGAATAAAAGGAGAATGATTTTTAATTGTGGATTTGTGTAACTGCACACAGTACAGTCCTGATGCTCTATGAAGACTTCTTCAGGCAACATTAATTGATGAAATATATTGCTAATGAATGGAGAGGGGACTCATCTGTCCTGTACACCTCCATAAATTTAGGCTCCAGGCTTTCTGGTGCCTGAGTGGTCTTTAGCAAGCTCTGCCATGGGAGATTCATTACACTGTTAATAACCTGTTGACAGTCACTGATGAGTACAGCACTTAATTGTGTTTGTGTCCTTTGAAAAGGTTGAGGACAAGTGCTGGCGCGAGAGGGGTCGTCCGTTCCCAAGCCTTAGAAAGAATGGTCAGGGTTGGAGTAGCAAAACAGCAGATAAAGATGCTGGTTTTCAGTTTCTCAGCTTACCCTCTGGGTTTGGTCGAATATGAGGATGCAGTGTGGTGCAAGCTGAAATCTGACCAGAGAATCACATCAAATCCACTTATTGTTGATGTACTCGTTGTGAGGGTTGCTGGCATTTTTTTTCATTTTCAAACTGTAATGTAAGTTGCTTTTATGTTTTTCCTCTTATCTATTCAATTTAGCATTCCCTACTGCCTCATTGAAACTCATATATATATTGATGCAGCTCACTAAACACTGTCAATTGATCTTAGAAATGAAATATTTACTAAAAGGCCACATTTGCATAGTGCAGCGATGCATATATAATCTTAGTTCTGGGAATTACACGTTTCATGTTGTGCAAAAATGGTAGACATGGTAAAAGGTTAGCAGAGTGAACTCACCTGATGCCCATTGGCTTTACATCGTTCATCTCTTGGGCTCCTCCGCCAATTTGAGGAGGACGAGTTGGTTTTCCAGTCCGGGGGGCAGTAGTTCTGCTTGTTTGTTCCCAAAGGGAAACATGAGGGGGATGGGGTGTGGAGGTGTTTCAAGCCCACCTCAGGGACTCCATTGCTGGGTCAAGGTTGGAGGGTTTCCTGGGTACAGCTTCTCAGCATCTCTCGCAAGCAATGAGGGGAGCGCACCCTCACAATCAGCAGTGGAGACAGCTCCATCCATTCAACCCCCATACCTCTTCATCACTACTGAGGGAAGAAGGAGAAATTAAATGCAAGAAAGCAAAAAATAAAAAAGGATAAGTATCCTTTGGGTAAGGCTGTTCTTGAGTGTTTTTTTGATGTTTTCTTATGCTGTTTTTCGCAGTCTTCGTTCCCTCAGTACGTCGAGGTTCATAGCCCCCTCACTGGCGCCAGAGAAGGAGAAGGCTGGGGGCTCGGCGTGCGCTTGCCTTGGTTGTCATGGTTGCCGGATGGAGTGTGGTCTCCGTAGCGGCGTCTGTGGCTCCAGCTCTGTCTGTCTCAATGCTGCTCCTGGCTCTCTTTTTCTCTCTCTCTCCCTCTCTCTCTCTATCCTTCTGTCTTCCTCTCCAGCTCTCTCATCCTGCTGTCCTTCGGTTTTCTCGCTTTTTCTCCCTTTTGCTTCACCCTCCTCCTACTCTCATTCCCTCCCCTATTCTCCCCCATCTCTCTCTCTCTCTCTCTCTCTCTGCCTCCCTCTATGCAGCATCCCCCCAGTACCCTCCCTCCTCCCTTCCTCTGCTTCTCCACATCAGGTTGTTTTTTGCTCTTGTTGTCAGCTCGCTTTCTCCCACTCTCTTAAAACCTTGTTGAATGTGACAGCGGCCGCTCCTCGTCTCCGAGGCGCTCCACCGGTGAGATGCACCCTTGAGATGCTGTCTCCTCGAATTGCACCCTAATTCTCCCTTGACACCGCTCTCATTATGCGGTGAATGGGGTTCACATTGGAGCCGTCATTAGTGTGGTGTTTGTTTCATATGGGGGAGAGCATATCTCTCTCTCTCTCTCCCCCCCACATGCACTTGTCTCATTGCAATGCGGTGAGAGGCTCAGTGGGTATGACTGTTAGAGTGCAGGTGCGTGCCAGCTATCAACTCAGCCCTTCCAAAAAGCAAGACAGGCGTGCAGCGCTCAGCACTGTTCATTTAGCCATGCTGAAGCGTACAGGATAAGAGCCTGATGAATGCGTGCGCATGTGTGCACATGCCGCTGCTGCCATCGCCACACATGCACACAGAACAGCAGTCCTGGGAGACGCCCACCTCTAAAAACACACACAGACGCCGAGATGATTAGGTGTCGGTTCATAACATTTCTCTCCAGACACAGCAGCAGCCAGCACATCAACCATGTCTCCATTCCACTTGTTTGTCTGCTTTATGTTTGTGTAAAAGTGATGCAGATTCTACCATGCACATCTGTAGTAGAACCATACAGGAAATTATTTATGTATTCCTACTATCACTGCCAATGTACAATGTGTTCAATTGTTAATTCCCAATGCTTATTGTATCGACATATGTAATATAAGGTAAAAACACTTAGATACCATGCAGTCAACCTGTTTTCCAATTTGCTCATTGACTTTGACATTGACCTAGTGCACTCCTGAATATAGTTCTCTCCTTAGCATTTTTTGATTTATGTGGTATTTGAGAGGAGGCCTGTTTTCTTTGAATGCTCTTTATATGCTTTGACTTATACTGGATACTTATTTAAGGATTACAGTAGTTTTAGTTTTACCCCTTTTTTTTTGTTTTAATATTTGTAATGTTAATAATGTTAAAATAGTGGTCTATCTGAAAAAATACGTTTTCTTCCGGAACTATTTTGCCTTACGCTGCCCTGCTCTGTCATGAATGGATTGAAAACAAAACAATTTGGACCAAAATCTCCACAAACCTGTCATAAAACAATATGTCAGTTATCAGACAATGTATTCATAAACAGTTCATGTAATACTTATCTGTGAGATAGCTTTTAAAGGCATTAAAATCTAAATATCTGGACTCTATCACCTCAGTAAACGAACAATTCTGATTCAGTAAGTTCTCTGGAATGGAGCATTTCATATCAGGCCACTCAGAATGACTTTGTTGATGTCTTAATGGCTGAATTGTTCAGAAATTTTGAAACCTCTTTAACCATCTCATCAAATGAGGATCTTTATAAAATGCCTAGTGGTAACTTTAGGATCTGTAAAACACCGAGGTTGTTATCTCTGGTAGGTTCCTCATGTGGCCATGAGCTATGTCATTCATAATGTATATATCTGTTTTTTTGTTACATCTACATTAATGGCTTCTTCATGCTGTGGACCCTCAGGGTCACTGTGTAGATTGATGCTGGACTCTTGGGAGCCACCATGGGACAAGCGTTGGTGACTTCAAGCCTGATGAACATTTTACTGAACCACTCTGTTTCTGTAATCATACACAAAACATCTCTATTTTTGTAAGATAATATATAAAAGTTCTGTTAAATCTGAATAATTTCTTAATTAAAGATTAAAGCCAAGAAGAAGACTCAGAAATTCAGTGAGAGAAACCAGAAAACACAGAAAAGCCTTCTAGTACGAAGTTCCGAGGCTAGAAAGCAAAGGTTAGGACACCATCAAGGAGCAAAACAAGGCTATTGAATCGCAGTGCTGAGTTTAAGTGGTGAGAGAGAAGGGAGAAAGAGAGACATAAGAAGCTGCACCCAGCAGTGACGGGGTGGGAATTGTAAAGGATTTGACACAGGCAGCACACTGCGACAATCGGCTTAGACTGTCACAGGCACGTCGGAAAATCTTGTGCTTTCGTCGCGCAGGCTCCGAGGACTCGTCGAACAGAGGAATATCAAGCAGCCCCTGGCACAGAAACCTCAGACAGAGCAGCGCAGTCAAAAGAGTGTGAGGAAAAAAATAAGGGCAGAAAGAAAATCTCACTGCTGAGCTTGGTGTGTCGCAGTGACTCCAGAATTGCCTCTGAAAAGGGTTTGTAGGTATGTGATTGTTAAATTGTAGTAGGTATAGGATGTGTTCACATGTTTGTATGAACTGTGCATTGAAATATAAGCTCAGGATGTCCCTGAAAAACTAATCAAAAACATTCAGTTTCAGTTTGTTTATATTTACATGGGGTGAGCTATCTGCTGTTCAGACTTCACTGATACATCAAGGTCATGACACTTCGTATTAGCACTTAGTTGAAGATATTTCCTACCCTAGTGATGATATTACATATATCAGAAGGCAAGCATGAATTACACTGTGACACAGAGCAGTGCACAAAGGTTTGCTATATAGTATAGTTGTATCAGAGGTCTTGTTGGTAGTCATATACAAAATTAAATAAACATGATTTGGACAAACAATATTTTGTAAATGTATTGTTTTATATTCCAATTGTGAAATATACATATACTGTATTGTGCAACAGTAAAAGACTACTCTTGCATTTATATAATTTCCAGTCAAAATAGCTTCAAACCATTCAACAGAAACATTCTTCAGTGTCAGAAAAAGGCAGAAATATTTATTTAGAAAAAATTACACCAAAGTCTCCAACATTTAGTATAATACAGAGCTGGGCAATATGACAATATGTATTGTTACCATGATAAATTATGTCACATTATTTTTAGCACATCGTGGTTGTCATTAGTACTCAAAAACACTATGTGAAATGTTGAATACAAATCACTGGATTTAATAGTTTTTGATAGTATTATGTAGGTGTGGCACTTTGTTGTGATCCAACTTAACTGGTGTCAAAAAAAAAATACTGACATATTGTACTTTTAAGTATCATGATATTACATTTTTGCCCTACTTAGCACACTTTTAGTGTGATATCAAATCTATCAGTATTTAATTTGTCTACTTTGTAGTTTTGTGTGTTCTACTGCCATTTTAACTCTTCCATCCTTCCAACATTACAGTTTCATGTGTCCTCCCAACAAAAACTGTTCCCAAAGGAACCACTGAAATTATGTTTCCCCTCAAAGAGACTAACATTCACATAAACACACCTTAACTACCCAAACACACTTTAGCTTAAAATTTCTTTCTCGTGCATCTACAATGGACAAAGGAGATATTTTTGAGGAGATTAGACATGATGTTCCACTTGTATATGGGTAGAAAAAGCTAAAGGAAAATAAGTGAAAAAGCAGGACTTTCCAAAACTGGAGTTAAAAATAGAGAAAAATGGGAGTCCTAACAACCCTCTAAGACTTGGAAGACCATAAAAACTGTCACCATCAGTTATGCAGCACTTAAAGCTTTCATCTTTGAGAGAGAGAGAGAGAGAGAGAGAGAGAGAGAGAGAGAGAGAGGTGAAAATCAAGCTCCACTCTTGCTTCAGATCTGAAAAAATGCAAAGCATCACTTTAGCCTTGTTCATTAGGTGTCAAAAATGAAGTGTAACATTCACTTTGATGGCTTATTTGAATACCTAAGTAAACAAATGCAGTGTTTAGGAAACACTGTTACATTATGTTCCCTGGGACTGTAATGTATGCTAATGTAGCAGGATTTCATCCCAAGTAATTTTGGACTATTTCTGTTGATCCATTCATAATGAAATGCTCACACAACAAAAAGGGCTGCCGGCATTTTTACATGTTGTAAAAAAAAATTAAAAACTGGAACCTTTAAAGTGACACAGTTAAAGACAGGCCTGCAATGACTTTTGTTTATTATATCACATGAATGCCTTGATTTGTCATAACACCCACAGAGCTGTTGTGGAGAACATCTGACATTGACATAAAATTCTTCTGTGATATCAGCATTACAGAGTCCATGATGTCTGTGTTAATAAAGCAATTACCAAACTATATTATGCAGCGCTAAAACGAGTTGAGCCTCTTTTCTTCTTTTGCTCATCTTTTCTCAGCTCCTCATCCAGTTGTGATAATCATCTCAATTTGATCAGTGATTCTTTGCTGTGTCTCCAATAAATCAAATCTTAACTTGGATATCTGTATGATAATCCCAGTGAAGCATGTACTTTTGCACTAGCACAAGCAAATTTGCAGTCGCTTACTTGATCACCCTAGAAGGCCTAAAAAAAAAGTTGTCAAAATATGTGTGTTTATAAAGTGAACCTCTTGAGCGCCTCGATACTTGTCTATATATTTTATGGACCTTACACAAAGTTAGCAGAACCACAAGAGCTGGATGCTATTTCTAAATGAATTGTGGCATGTCTTGTGAGAGTTCTATCATTTTAAAGACATGGCATGAAGGCAAGAAGATATTGATGCCCTGTGCGAATAAAAAAAAATGGAACATGGAACAAGCAATCTCAAAGAAGGCAGTAGCTTTCAGATCCTCTCAGGCCATTGGAATGTGAGGATGGAGGGGCTTGAGAAGAAATCAATATAAATGGCTCCCTGCCAGCTGAGAGATGACAGACCAGGGAATACTTTGTTGTCACTGGTCCTAATTTTCCAAACAACCCCATGTTCCTAATTTGATTGCGAAGAAAAAATGAGTGTGATTGAATCACAAGGCTAAGTATGCAACTCAGCATTTTTTCAAATCAATCCACTCATGTACTGTAAGCATACCAAAGATTTTTGCGCAACCTTCATAGCTAATAATGAACTTCCTAAAATATCTGTGAAGTTTAACCCCAAAAACCCTAAAGGCCCAAA